TCCTCCTCTTCATCATCAAAAACATACTCTTAGTTTGCTTTACAGTCCAATTTACAAATGGTCCCCTTAAAATACAGCATGCCCCAAAGCCTTCTGAGTTTGAAATGTAGCCTGCAGCACTCTTTCTACAGAAGCCCTGAAGGATCACAAGAAGCTTTCTTAAAAACAACAACACAAAAGTTCCAGTTGGATGAAACCATTTTTCAACTGAGCTTAAAAAACCAAATTTTCAGAAATACAAGAGGACAGGAAACAGATTACTTGGGTTTTTTTTTTGTTTTTGTTTTTTTTTCTCTCTCTCTCTCTCTACGTCTTTTCACATCTTTTATGAATGCAGCTACGATGTTTCCTCCACTGATACACACATAATAGGGTGGACAGCGTGGTTACCACCAGGACCAGAAGTGGGCTCAGACCGCAGCTGGGAGGAGCAGCCATTGATTTTGGAATTTCATTCTCAGACCCTGATGGCCTCAGAGACTTGTTCTTGACCCGGACGGGCTGCCACACAGTCACATCAGAGCCATTGCCAAAGGCTTGAATTGCATTTTTCAGACATGTATTGTCTTTGAAGAAACTGAGAAATTTCAAGCACTCCTCTAGGTCATTCCCACTGTTGCTGCAGTCACACCACGGGGCCACGGTGAGGCTGCTGGAGTCTATGTAGTTGGGAGTCATGACTGTGCCAATCAACCCCGAGTAAGCCAGGAGGCAGTCTGCATAGTTCTCCTTAAGACAGCTGCTGACACACCTGGACTCTGGCTGGCAGTTGGTAAAAAAATCTATGAGGCGAGATCTACAGATGTAATTCGTCTTGCAGGAGTCCTGCAAATTCAAACAGTTGGGTTTCTCCCGCTCTTCGTAGGAGCACACAGGCACGATGGTCAGGCGCCGCCGCTCTGTGCAGGCAATGTCCCTGCAGGAGCAGAAGAGCATCCCATAGCTGTGCTTGGCTGGGACCTTGTCAAAGAACTGCCTGAGGGCCTTGTGGCACTTGCGGCGGTTGCAGACTTCGTTGGACATGCTGGTGGTGCACCGGGTGATATAGGCAGACCTGTACTTCTTGCAGGTGTCATCAAGGTTGCAGGCGCTGGCCGCATCCAGGCAGTTATTCCCTTTCGAAATGTGCTCCACTGATAAGAACGGGGCGGCACGGAATATATCTGACAATCTGCTGTTAACTGGTTCGTATGGGGAATCTTCCAGCAGATCATTTCCCTGTAGACTCTGGTACATGCTCCAGTAGATGCGCAGGCAGTTCTTTTCTTTCTTCATGCCCCGCTTGCAGCGGCAGTTGTAAAGAGACTTTTGCTTCAGGGCCTCCATTGCGCTGCGACACTCATCCTTGGCCTCCAGGCTGGAAGCCAGGCTGAAGTTGATCTCCTTGCCTGCCACACACTGCCTTAGCGTGCGGTACTTGGTGCTGCAGCTCTGTTCTTTCAGGCACTGATTGCTGGCTTTCACGCAGTCAAGGCGGTCCCCGCCACTCACTTTGGCAGACAGGAGCAAATCCAGGAGTGGTAGCGCGAAGTACAGAGTGGCCAGGAACATGGTGCAGGCTTGCAGCTGTTCCCCGTATGGGCCACCACTTGCCGGAAGCCACGACTCTGACCAGCAGAGTGGAGGAAAGGACAACACAGACGCCACGATGAGGTTCACTCCACTTTCAAGTCTCTTCTCCTTATTGAACGTTTGTACAAAGCTTTTATAGGGAAGCAGAGGGCTTATTGAACATTTGTACAAAGCTTTTATAGGGAAGTAGAGGGCGGAAGAAGCTGGGCGGGTAAGTTCCGCTGTTTACCGCACCTTCCACAGCCAGACCACCAGGCAGGATGTTGAACAAATTTACAAGGTTGAGGCAGACAATAGTTACTATTTCTGGGCAGAGGGCCCATGGCTCTCTACAACTGGAATCAGCTTCTAGTCTGTCATCTTACTTAGAAGTCACCACTTCACTTTTTATTTGTGAGACAGTGTCTCAGTTGCTTAGGTTGACTTGAAGCCCAGGCAGGCCTTGAACTTATGATCTTCCTGCCTCAGTGTCCTGGAGTAGCTATGGCCACAGCTGCACCCCCACCATACCTGGCTTGCTATGTCTAGTTTTAAATGCTCATATTATGACCAAAGAGAGTTATGAGTCATGGTTTAAGCTTGTTATTAAGAAATTAGGATATTAACAAGGAGAAATAAAAACCAAAAGTAAGTAGAAGGAAGGAAATTATAAAAATAAACATCAAAAACTGTAGGGGGCTGGAGGGATGGCACAGCAGTTAAGAGCACTGGCTGTTCTTGGGAGTCCTGGGTTTGAATCCCAGCACCCACATGACAGCTAACAACTGTTTATAACTCCAGTTCCAGGGGATTTGACATCCTCCTGTCTCTTGCGAGCATTGCGTGACGTGGATGCAGTTACATACATGTAGGCAATACACTCATACATAAAAATAGATAAATAAATGAAAACTGCAAAAAGAAGTTGCCAGCAGTCCATAACATTCATAAAGACAAACTCTGGCCCTTTGAAATGATCATCAAAACGAATGCAATTTATTGCAGGTAACTGTACCTCAGTAAAATGTTGAGAAAGTGCATTCTTGTAGACACTGATGTTTTCAGAGAGTAACCGAGGTAGTGATGCATAGGAATCTAGCTTCCAGGCCTAACTATCAGTGCTACTAGACCTCTCCCATGCTTAATCCCTCACCTTCTTGTATTTCTTACAAATGCCACAGTAAACGTGCTGCTTGATAAATATTCACGGTTTCCACCAAGTAATCTCCAGAAGGAAAATGGAGAGGAGGAAAAGGAAGCCTGCAATGCTCATGGCCATCAGGTACTTTCCAATCACATGCTCCTTCAAAGAATAAACATTCTTCTTGGTATCTGAGGATGGACAGGCAGATAGAACACATCTTACTATGTAGGACTGACATCATGAACAACTCATTAAAAAAAGTTAGAAACAGGATACAATGATATGTTAGGCTAAACTGAGACACAGTGTAGAGTGTAAGAAGTGACGAATCTGCTACACAAATACAATTTAACAGATGAATTCTGCAGACAGGCCCTCATTAACATATTGTTTGGTAATAAAGCCAGACTATAAAGTTAGTACAGGTACTGATATGTCTAATGATAATTAAGCCTAAAATCCCATCAGAAGTGTGAGATATTAGGTTGGAAATTAGAACTTTCTCTCTCTCTCTCTCTCTCTCTCTCTAACAATAATAATTAAAGAAAAAGGCTATGAATCTGAGAGGGAGTGGGGGTGTGTGGGAGGAGTTGGAAGGGAGGAAGGAGTGGATATAATGTAAATACAGTACTCGCATCTGAAATTCTCAAAAAACAGTTATATAAAATGAAACTTTACCTCAGTAAACAAAGTGCAGAGTGATCAAGGAGTACACCCAATGTTGACATCTAGCCTCTATGTGCACATGCACACATGTACACATGCACTTTCACACATACATGTACACATGCAAACAAAGCTATGTGACATAGGGCACAAAGTCAGTTTCCTTAAAATGCATAAAAAACATGAATTTTTTGTGGAGATTTACAATAATGTGTGTAAAGCTGACAGACAGCTAATTATTGATAGCTCTATTCGACATCTCAACATGACTTTCAATTTACTTCAGATTTGATTTTGATACACACCTACTGTCTCCACCCTCCCACCCCATGCTGGGGATCAAACCCAGGGCCTTGTTAGAAAAGTGCTCTACCACTGAGTTACAGCCTCATCCCTCTTTTCATTTTGTGACAGGGTCTTGTCAAGTTGCCCAAGATGACCTTGAACTTGGGATCCCAACTCACAATCTCCCAGTATCATTGTTCCAAGTAGCTGGAGTTACTGGTCTGCTTAAAAAAATAACTTATGTACTAAGAATGTTCCTTTGAAATAAGCAGGTTCAGGTTCATCACACGATTCATGCTCTGAGCCTGAGACTGGTTTCCTAGAGACGTAGAAATACCCATAATACTTACTTTCTTTACTACAGTTTAGGTAGCTGGGAAGTTTCTTTTGCTGGGTGCACAGTATTTTCCTCTGGTAGATAACAGTGGAGTCACTGATGCACTTTCCCAGGTTGTACGTGGGAAGAAGCAGTAATGCACTGTGCAGGAAGGTTTTCGTGGTGTTAGACACACTAGTTGGTATTTCTAAAAGGGTGACAAGAATAGGTTACAGAATCATAAATGAACCATCCCCGGGATGAGAAAGCCCCAGTAATGAGCAAACCAAGCTCAGGGAATCAAAACCAGATTATCTCTGAAGAAGAGTGAGTCACTTGCCAGTAGGTTTTGGCACGGCTTCTAACTGGGTATTACGTCAATGATCACAGAATCATAAAGCCTTTTTTCTGTGGAGCGGAGCCATCTACAACTTGCATTTTCTTTGTGAAAAGAATTTTAATTATCAAACGCTTATAGTACAATTCAATTTGATTTTAAATACTTAAATGCTTATAATACAGCTCAAATTTTCCACTTTTTCTTAAATCAAATTTAGTAAATTATATTTTAGAAGTACAACAATTTGTTTTCAGTGATTTCTTTCTGAACTTTATTTAGTCAAACATTGGAATGCCTCATTCTATCCGCCATGGACTTTAACATTTCATATTTTCCATATTCCCATGTCATGGGATATGGTAAGTATATTTATTTTGTATTCATTATTAAGCTACTGCTTCTCTCTTCAATTATGAATAACATTCTGAAACTTGGATCCACTGAAGATATTTTTAGATTTATTTTTAATTGACACAAAATAATTATACATATTTGTGGAATACTATATGATATAATAGTACATATACAAAGAAAGTAGAGTGACCAAAGGAGAATCATTAGCATACCCACCACCTCAAATACCATCATTTGTGATAACAACATTTACCACAACCTTTCAGATATTTAAAAATACTTATTATTAGGGAATACTGTCACCTTGCTTTGCAGATTAAGATCAGAACTCATCCCTTCTATCTAACCATTGCTGAGTTCTAGATTTAATTAATGCTTTAACTTCCAAAGTTTCCATTTGCAAAATGTTTCCAAATCTATTTGTGCTGAATATTTTATTATTTGTTCATATTTCTTAGACTGTGTGTATTTTCAAGAGAACAAATGATACCAAATGCTGGAGAGGATGTGGGGAAAGGGGAACACTCATGCACTGCTGGTGGGGATGAAGACTTGTTCAATCCCTATGGAAAACAGTGTGGAGAACTCTTAAAAACCTACAAATGAACCTACCGTTTGACCCAGTTATACCACTGCTTGGCATATACCCAAAGAACTCATCCTATTGCAGAGACACTTGTGTATCCATGTTTGTTGCTGCTCTTTTCACAATAGCTAAGAGATGGAAGCAACCTAAGTGTCCCTCAATTGACGAGTGGATAATGAAAATGTGGTTCATTTATACGATAGAGTTTCACTCAGCAGTAAAGAAAGATGAAATCACGAAATTTGCAGGTAAATGGATGGAACTAGAAACTGTTATACTAAGTGATGTAACACAGACTCAGAAAAAAAATCGACATATGTTCCCCCTCATATGTGGATCCTAGAACCAAACCCTGATAAATGAGTATATATCCAGACATAAGTACAGGAACAAGGATAATGGAAAGGAAACAGAGAGGTAAAGGAAGAGAGAGAACCTGAAAGAGAAAAACAGTAGGAAACAGGCCTTAATAAGGAAGCTATGGATAAAAATTGGGTTAGTTTAAGGGAGGGGGGGAGGGAAGCATATACAAAGAACCTAGGGGATAAAGGGAATGAAGGAGCTCAAGAGAGGTAGGACCATAGGAAAAGGGTATTATTAAGGGAGAAAATGGAAAAATGGGGGTACATTAAATGGGGAAACCATGATGGAAGGGTTATACAATGAGAGAGATAAAAAATTCCTAGCTAGTTTAAAAAAAAAAAAACAGAGGGAGCCACATTAGTCCAACAACCTACTGACAAAATATACATACATAATATAGGTTTAGTCAATGTTTATCTGAGAACTTTTGTTTTTTGCCCAAGCTTTATCTACAGAGTGGAAGGTAATTAGAAGTACCAGACTAGTGGAACTAAAATTCTTGGATGTTTAACAGCCATACTTTGAGGCCTATACTAATCTGTTCAGCAAGAGACCCTGAACCAGAAGGAAGGACCTGCCTAGCAGAAACTGAATATTGCTTAAAGCTGTAGGTTGTATTTAGCTTTTCCTTTCTGGAATGCCTATGAGGTGTTTAGCTTTATTCTTCATCCAGAAAATAGCTATTTTCCCTCCTTTAATTTTTCTCCCTTCTTAGCATTATTTCTATAGGACTGTGCTTCTCCAACTCAGAGGGCCTGCTCAGTCCATCACTCTTAGACATTTTGAAATGTATGGATTTACAAGGATACTGTATGGTCCACCCTGAACACAGAGGATAGGAGGACCCCCCTCCCCATGGCTCTTCCTGCAGCTCCTCTGAGGCTCCATCTAGTCTAGGACTCTGCCTCATGTTAGACACTTACTCAGTAGCTCTGATCTTTCCATTCTCACAGGCTCAGTCTGGCACTCTACTCTCCACATCCTTCTTTCTTCCAGCTCAAACATGGTAGCCATCTTTTCTCCATTTCACTGTTTGATGCTTCCTTTGTATTAACTTGCCCTCCAGCCTTCTGTGGGGCTGGCACACTCATCTTCTCACATTTCAGTATGTGTTTAGCAAATTCTGGATGCACCATCTAGAGAAACCAGGGTGGAAGTAAATAAAGATTTTCGTCTTACAAAGAGCCTTGGTTTCTAGGATGCACATCCTTGGAAGGCACTTGGACTTGATCAATGATATCCTCCAGGGAACCTACTTGCAGCAAATACAGAGAACCCTTTTTTCCCACTCTGGACTTGCTGGGCAGGTCATGGTCATAGATGGCAATACTTGATTGTTTGGGGCTATAGTTAGAATTTACAGAGGCATCAGGAGAAAGGAAAATGAGACCGTTTCTAGGAAGAGGACAATCATTCAGGGACAACTAGTGAGAAGGCCTAGAAGGAGTTTGAGTAAGATTTATTTCCATGGTAGATATGATTCACTTTTCCAGGTTCCTAAAAGTTCTTCGCAGAAATCACAATGACTTTGTAGACATACACAGGCTCCAAGGATCCAAGTACAACCGATTATGACTTGTAATAATCAGCTACATACAGATTAGAGATGCATGCGCCAACATCTCAGTGTTAGTAGCAAAAACAATGAGTATTTCTGCAGGGAACAATATATTCTAAAATGAAATGGAGATCTTTTTTAAAGGTTAAAAACTCATTCAATTTTATGTCTTA